ATACAACTAATTAGTTGTATATTTTGTTTTAATTGCAAATTGAATATCACCAGAGACCAGATAGTTGCAAGCTACCTGCTTTCAGATGGTGTTTGCAAGCACATGGCAGTGTCAGACTAATGGCTTCGGTACACAGCCCAGTAATGAATGTTTGAGCTTATTAAAACCAGCCTAAGTATTGACAGCAAGAGGAGAGTATACCAGGGTGTTACCAACTGTAAGTGCAAAATGAGATTGACTTTCAAATTATATTTCAGCAACTCCATATGGCCCATTACACCAAAGAGAACAGAACTTTGTATCATGCATTGTTTCTTGTGTAAGAATGAGAAGCAGAGAAAGTTCTGTGAAAGGGGATACCATTTCATAGGAATTGTTTTTGATGAATGTGAATATTGGCTTCCTAAAAAAAAAAGACTATTAAGCCACACCTGTATGTTGACTTGGAGATAAAATAACCTCTTAAAACTAAAGCTGGACTTAGAGATCACTTTTTACAATCTCATCAACAATATATATCTCATGAAGGTGTCCCTATCACTATCACTCATAGTTTTTTTTAATGATTTATTTATTTATGCATGCAAGAGCTGGGATGTAGGTCAGAGGTGCAAGAAGGTAAGAGGGTTCACCAGAGACAGAGTGCGGAGCAGAACAGGCGATTGACTGAAACACACTGCTGAGGGGAGCAGTGGGCAAGACAGGAGAGGTCTGCTGTGCCCAATCAAAGTTTTGATCATATCAGCAAGGATAGAGAACACATTTTTTCTACCACATTCTAAACAAAACTTGGAAAACTATATTAGCCAAACACAAGTTATCATAGTTGGGCAGATATCTATTCCCATTGACTTTCATTTCACTTAATTCTAAAGCCTGTAAGATAAAATACCTTAAGAATTAGCACAATTTCAGAAACTAGCTAAGATCAGCACAGAATTATCTCCTTAAACACAGCTTTTGAATACTAATTTCACTTCCTCAAGGCTTTAGATATCAGAAAAGATAATGTGAACAATGGGTGAAAATTTATACAGTCAGTTTCCTTGAGTGAAAGAAGTGTGATTGTGCATCTTTTAATATTCATATTTAGAAAAAATCTTTACTATATATATTAAATGAGTTGAATGAATTAAAAAAGAGGATAAAAGAGATGGAAAAGTATCTACCAGCCAGCCATATTTCTGTTGGCAAACCCAGTTTCTAGGCCAACAAAATCAAAAGCAAACATATTTGCATAGACTGCACCACAACTATGAAAATGTCATTTATTTTTACTGCAAACCTTTCAAATGCTCACAGATCCCACTCGGAAAATACAAACTCTATGCAGGGCACATAATTGGAACTCAGTAATGCTTGTTGATGAACTCTAAGCATAATTGTTTCATCCTACTCACTCAGACATTTTTCATTCTTTTAAAAACTAAAAATTCAATTTTCTATTTCAAATAGTATGTTGTAACAGGAAATTTCAGTTTTTTTCTAATCTAGAGTTTTGCTTATATTTTCCAACTAACTTTAAATACTACAAAGCAATCATTTCTAAAATGTAGAAATACATTTCTACATTTCTAAAATATAGAAATATTCTTCTTTTGGAAAACCTTTCCTTTCCCCTGTAATATTAACATTGAATTTTATGGGTAAATAATTTTCCTTTTGGTGTTTAATATAAATATTTTCATTTTAATACAAGCTAGAATGTTTAAAACATCTCCTTAAAGAAAATTATTTAGATTCAAATTTCAAACCAAAGTCTGAAAATTTGCATTTAGTATATAAGGTTGTCATAATATGCTTTTAAAAAATAAATATTTAGATTTTTCTTAAATTTCAAGCACTATCAATAAAAACTTCTTAAAGTTTATATAGCAAAGAAAACTTTTTAAAGTTTATATAGTAAAGAAAACATTTTTGGTAATTTGGAAAAAATATTTATGTGTTTTAATGGCATACTTCTTTAATTTTGGCAGGAAATGGAATGATCTACTTTTGATAGTGATACTTTGACATATATTACTCTAACAAAGGGTCAACCAATATAACAATTAATTATAATGCAACCTAATTTTCAATTCTCTGAGCTACAAATCAGAATTCATAACTTCAACAAAGCTTTATGTATTTATATGACTGGAAGAAAAAGAACATTATAAACCTCATTGAATAATCTGTCTTAACTTTTAGGGAAACAAGAGAATGAGACTGCTATTTTTAGAATTTGTCCCTCTTAATTGAGCCCTTGTTGCTCAAAGGAAGCTCTCATTCTTTCAGGGAGAGTACTAACTCCATGTCCCTCTCTTTACCTCTCTCAATATCAGTTTTATTTTCTGGATTTTTTTTTGCTTGAGACCCTCAATTAATAGTGGATCTTACTTTGATGGTCATTCATCATCAAACTTATATAAAGAGATGAGTGGTTTTAAAGAAGATAGATTCTCATTTTTCAAGGTAACATAACTAGGAAGAAGATGCTATAAAAATGGAGATTTCAAGGATATGAGCAGATTTGGGGAAGGCCATTGTTAAGCTAACCATGAACATGAGCACCCATCCGAGGCTGCAATGACATTCACACCTATATGATTTGAGAACAAGCATAATGAATGACATTGCTGCACTATAACCTACACGTCAGGGCTGTCTAGACTCCCTGCTTCTCCTTGACCAGTAATGCATTAAGTGTTCCCATGGCGACCTCCAAGAACTAAATGAAGATTCCAAATGAGCTTAGTTTATATTCTTTCATGCAACTTATATACTAAGAAAACCTGGTGAGACATCCCAGGGAATAAAGAAAGCTCACATTTTACATTTAGATGTAATCTGTTATAATTAGGCCAAGGTTACACATTCTATTCATATATTTCTCTCTGAATTTCCTGGCTATGTAAGGAATATGTAAATAGGCCAAGTGCGTAGTGATTGCCAAAAAGGCGACCTGGGTTGGATAAAAGGAATGAATGAACATAAATCTGTTACTCAAAAAGCAACCCGGTGCACACAACCTACCAACAGCGAGTCAATTCCTTCAGTATTTGTAAAGACTGCACACCTCTAACAGCTCAGATTCTGCTTATTCCTATTTAAAGACTTGTTTTTACATCAAATTTCTTTATAAGCAATATAGTCTTATATTTAACTTAGAATATAATAATTACACTGCAGTTTTAACCCAGGATATTGTTTCAAGATCAGATTTACTGATGATTGGTAAGGAAATTACCAGAAATAATTAGTATTATTAACTTTAATATATTTTCTTGGTATCATGTGAAGTTCTGGAGTTGAATGTGTGTCCTAGAAAATGAAAGGTGGCTTATTTTAGTAAGTAGTTCACTACTTAAATTATCTATTTGGTCCTTTGGCGCTCAAAGTGTCAGTAATACACAGGAGTAAATGCCTCTTTAAATAGTCTAGGTTAACCCGAGAAAGGACATAAGATTCATGAATTCTTCCATGCTTTCCAAAGTTGAAGATTTCACAAATTTTAATAACTTGGCCAAATTCATGGTGACAAAACATGAGAATATTATTTAATCTTTCAAAGATTATCACAGTTTTTCATAATTTTTTGTCATTCTTTCAATAAAACAAACTTGCTAACAAATAAAAGAGGACTAAAATTACAATAACAAATTAGGAGAATATTTGTGACAATGGACAATGTTTAGTAATGATATACTTTTTCATTAACCTTCTTTAGTCAGAGTACTCACAAGAAATAATCATAATGCAAAAACAAAAAAAAATAACAAGTTCCAAAATTATGAACAATTCAAAATGAAGATATTCAAATAAATTAATAAAATTGCTATCATATTTTCTCTCTGTAATACCAAAACTATTATACACACTCATCTTCCCATTGGTTCCAAGTGAAACTTGGGTTCACAGAAAAAAAAAAAAAAAACACTGAATTTCAATTAAAAGCATTCATTCATTTATTCGCAAAACAAATTTTGAGTGCCTGTTGATCTCCAGGAACTACATCATTGCTTGGTAAACAAGTATGATTTGGCCTTGTCTTCTTGAATTAAGTTACATTCTTTTCAAAGCATTCATCCATTAATATTTAATATGCAGTTATGAATGTACTTAATTAGACTATTAGAGAAGAAAGAATTGACTGTAAGTGAGATGGTCTTAATCAAATTAAAAAAGCAAAGCTCTTTTTATTTATCATATAAATCTCTATGCTTGAAAACCAGTGAAGATGTTTTCTAAATAAAGTGTAAGACAAAGATTAATAACTGCAACCACAGTGATTATTATGGCAAATTTGAATATTCAAGGCCTAAAATCTGACTTCCTTTTCCCCAACACATTTCTTATGATGTGATTACCCAACATGTGCCCCTTATTAGTTTCCATAAAGTTAAACCAAAAGTCCCAGAGCTGATCAGTGGTTATAGATTCAGTGATGTCTTAGTATAATGTAACCACTTTTAAAAACTTTTTAAAAATAATGAAACCAGAAATAACCTAAGGAGAGTTGAAGCAGTTTCTTTGCCAGGAAAGGAAAAGACAAAATGCAATATGTTTCCATACCATTTATAAACATTTCAACTCTGCAGAGTTTTTGTAGTTTATAGCACTTAAACTGAAAAGTCACCCAAAAAAAAAAAAAAAAAAAAAAAAAAAGAGAAAACTAATGTGACTGCCAAATTTGAATCATTTATATACATTTCTAGGCTCCGAGGAAAAATTATCCAGGGAAATGCCAGAAAGCAGCATATGCTTAAAGTCACACAACCAATGACCAAGAGGGAACAGCAGATATAATCTAGTCAGACTAATGTTTAGTTCTAATGTTGTTGACGAACTGTATTAGCAATTGCTTTTCTCATATGAACCAAGGCATTAATTTCTGATTAAATGGTATATGTAATTTTTGAAGCATAATGCCAGTTAAAATATTAACTACAGATACCACTATTAATTTTAATTACAAAGAACTCAAAATAAATATAATATATAAAAAGAAACAAACATACCATTGATCCATCGAGCTTCTGGGTCATGAAGCACAAAGTCTTTCCTGAAGAGATCTTCTAAAGACAATCTGGTTTCTGATGAATTTGAAAGTTCATCTAAAATAAAATAAATCTTAGATTAGACACATACTTCATGTTAATTTTTAAAACTAAAGAATGATAAATTTGGGGAAGTTGCTTTAAAAATGTGTTTAGAAGAAAATATGATGTCACCATGTTGACATGGTTCTTGACATTTGTAGTGTGTCTGTTTCATGACCTTTTCCAATACATTAAATTACCTTGATCTAGAACAAATATAATAGATCAATCCCTAGTTACATAATGACACATAATAAGAAAGTAATTAAGAATTCTCATTGTGCATTGTGCCCACAGGTCACATTTCACTGTTAAGCTATAGTCCAATCCATTACTTCCCAAACCACTTTGGAATATTTTCTTTTATGATGAATTTACACTTTTGTTGTAAACACCAATGATGAGAGAATTGAGGGTACTGAGTATATAAGATGAAGAAAACTTCCATCTTGGAAGGAATTCACCCAAGTAAATAGAATAAATACCAAGTTTCAACAAATACCCACTACCTAACAGACACAAAATAGATTTAAAAGTTACATGAAAAAATTCAAATAAAATGGCAGTATATTAATGAAAAGCAAACATTTATATTTGCCACAAACCTATATACATATGTTTTTCAGTGATTGTATTATAAATTAAGTACACTACTTTTTTCAATACCAAAATCTAAGATATTTACTAACAATACAGTTTAAGTACCAAAATAGGTGCAAAAGGCTGTTAACTGTAAAGAAAGTCTCTAACAATAGAGTTTATTAGATAATTAAAATGAGGATTTGAATCCAGAAAACAGTCTGACAGTTTGTACTTGGCGAGAGCTATTCCAATAAACACAAGTTTTAATTTTATCTATATAGGTAGGAGCAGTGTGAAGACATTAAGAGTGTAATTTTTAATTAAACAATGTATTTTAGGTAACATTGGTTTACAGCACTGTAATTGATACACCCATATTCACTTATCAGTGGATTGATGTACCCATATCCAAAAATACTATATTAGTATATATATCATACACTGTTGAATCCATTGTATTCCTTCACTCACTTTCCCCATCTAGTAGCTTCAATTCTGCAGTCATATTTCTAACTTTTTATGGTTACTTCATCAGTTTCTCTGAATCAATCAAATATTGCACATATAAGTGAAATTATCCAGCATTTGTCTTTCTCCCATATCAAAAAGTATATATCTAGAAATAAACTTAATAAAAGACCTGAAAGACCTACTCATCAAAAGCGATAAGCATTACTAAAAGAAACTGAAAACACAAGGAAATGAAAATATTACATGCTTATGGGTTGGAAAAATTAACATTGTAAGATGTCCATCTTATCCAAAGAAATTTATAGATTCAGTTTAATCCCTATCAAAATTCAAATGAACTTCTTCAGACACAGCAAACATTGTTGAAATTTATATAGCACTACAAGAGACCTCTTATGTCCAAAGCAATTATGACAAAAGAGAAGGGGAAGTGAGGTAACATATGCCCAAACTTCAAACCATATTACAAGCCCATAGTAATAAAAACAGTATGGTACTGAAATAAGAGTAGACACACAAAGATGAATACAATAGAATGAGTGACATGAAATAAGCCACACTGATATAGAGATTCAATCTATGACAAAGGGGTCAAGCTTGTACATAGGAGAAAATAAATTCTCTTCAACACTCGTTGTTGGGAAAACTAGACAGCCACATGCAGCAAAAAAGAAACTAGCTCACTCTCTTAAAAATATACACATATACAAAAAATAAAAACAAAAAAAACAAAAAAAACCCAAAAAAAACAGTGGTCTCCCTGGTGGCACAAGAGGTTAAGACACAACCTATGAAGCTGTCTGTAGCCACTGCAGCACAAGTTCTATCCCCGGCCAGGGAGCTACCCATATGGTGCAGCAGACCTCTCCTGATTCATCCACTGCTCCCCTCAGCAGTGTATTTCAAATAATCTGCCTGTCCTATTCCCCACTCTGTCTCTGGTGAATCCTCTCAAATCCCTGCCCCTACATCTCTGGCCTGTACCCCAGTTCTTATATGCATAAACAAATAAATCTTAAACATATATACATATACACACAAAAAAAAACCTCAAATGGATTAATTGATGACTTGGATATAAGGCCAGAATCCATTAAATACCTAGAAAAATACACAAAAAAGGAAAACTACAGGCCAATCTCCCTAATGAACACTGATGCAAAAATCCTCAACAAAATTTTAGCTATCAGAATCCAACAATGTATCCATAAGATAATTCACCACGACCAAGTAGGATTCATTCCAGGGACACAAGGATGGTTTAACATCTGAAAATCAATCAACGTTATCCAACACATCAACAAAAAGAAATATAAAAAACATATGATAATATCAATAAATGCTGAGAAAGCTTTCACAAAGTGCAAAACCCATTCATGATAAAAGCCCTTGAAATTCTTGGGATACAAGGAACATACCTCAACATCATAAAGGCCATCTATGACAAGCCAACAGCCAGTATCATTCTCAGTGGTGAAAAGCTGAAAGCAATTCCATTAAGATCTGGAACAAGACAAGGATGCCCACTCTCACCACTGCATTTCAATATAATACTGGAAGTCCTAGCCAGAGCAATAAGGCAAGAGAAAGACATACAAGGAATGCAAATAGGAAAAGAAGAAGTCAAACTATCACTATTTGCAGATGATATGATAATATATATAGAGAACCCCAAAAACTACACAGAAAAACTAATTCAACTCATCAATCAGTTCAGTAAAGTGGCAGGATACAAAATCAACACACAAAAGTCAGTAGCCTTCCTATACACAAACAATAAATCTGAAGAAGAAGAAATCAAAAAAACCATCCCCTTTATTATTGAAACAAAAAAAATCAAATATTTGGGAATAAATCTAACAAAAGAGGTAAAGGACCTATACAAAGAAAACTATAAAACACTGTTAAAAGAAATAGAAGAAGACACAAAGAAATGGAAAGACATCCCCTGCTCATGGATTGGAAGAATAAACATTATTAAAATGGCCATCCTACCAAAAGCAATATACAGATTCAATGCTATTCCAATCAAAATTTCAATGTCATTCTTCAAAGAAATAGAAAAATTATTGATGAAATTCATATGGAATCACAAAAAACCCCGAATTGCCAAAGCTCTCCTGAAAAAGAAAGAAGGGAACGGAGGCATTACACTCCCAGACTTCAAACTATACTACAAAGCCATAATCATCAAAACTGCATGGTATTGGAACAAGAACAGACATACAGACCAATGGAATCGAATAGAAAATCCAGAAATAAACCCACAGATTTATGGTCAACTAATCTTTGACAAAGGAGCAAAGACTATGCATTGGAGCAAAGAAAGTTTGTTCAATAAATGGTGCTGGGAAAACTGGGTCGCTACATGCAAAAGAATGAAGCTTGACCACTACCTCACACCATACACAAAAATCAACTCAAAATGGATTAAAGAACTAGACATAAGACCTGAAACCATAAAATATATAGAAGGAAATATAGGCGAAACACTACGGGATATGCACATCAAAGACATCTTTACAGATACATCACCCAAAGCAGTGATAGTGAAGGCAAAGATAAACAGCTGGGACTACATCAAATTAAAGAGCTTCTGCACAGCAAAAGAGACAATAACAAAAACAAAGAGAAACCCCACTGACTGGGAGAACATTTTTGCACCCAACACTAATGATAAAGGACTGATCACAAAAATCTGCAAAGAGCTGAGACTCAACAACAACAAAGAAAATAACCCAGTCAAAAAATGGGCAGAAGAGCTAAAAAGAAACTTCTCCGAAGAGGAAATGCAAATGGCCAACAGGCATATGAAAAAATGTTCAACATCACTTGTAATCAGGGAAATGCAAATCAAAACTACCATTAGATACCATCTTACACCAGTGAGAATGGCACATATTAAAAAAACTAGCAACAACAAATGTTGGTGAGGTTGTGGAGAAAAAGGAACTCTCCTGCACTGCTGGTGGGAGTGCAAACTGGTCCAACCACTATGGAGAGCTGTGTGGAGATTTCTTGACCTACTAAACATAGAGCTTCCATATGATCCAGCAATTCCACTCCTAGGTATTTACCCAAAGGACACAGAAACATCAATTCCAAAGAGCACCTGCACACCTATGTTTATAGCAGCACTATTTACAATAGCTAAGTTTTGGAAACAGCCCAAATGCCCAAAAATAGATGACTGGATCAAGAAGATGTGGTACATATATACCATGGAATATTACTCAGCATTCAAAAAAGATAAACACATGCAATTTGCAGCAACATGGATGGCACTGGAAGGGATCATGCTCAGAGAAATAAGCCAAAAAGAAAAAGAAAAATACCGGATGGTCTCACTCATAGCAGGAATCTAGAAAACTTAAATAAGGGACCAGGAAAATGAATAACTATAAGAAAGTGAAAATCAAAATCAACAAAAAACTATGAACCAGAGACACTTTTTGGGGGGTGGGGGCGGGAGGGGAGGGATTGGGGTCAGAATGGGGGGGTTGCAATTGTATGGGGAATATAAAAATAAAATTTATTATTAAAAAAAAAAAGATAGTTTTTGTTCTCTTGCCTGGTATAGGAGGGCAGGGTTCCCAGAAAATTTTGCTATGTATTTACAAAGCTATAGACACTTTTGTGATGTTTTCTTTTCCTTACAATACAATGGCATTGTTTATTTACTGTATAAAATAATCTCTGTGACCTTTCTGCTATAACCTTCACTCTGGCTGAAAATAAAATGTCAACAATATATACTAATCTCATTAGAATTTTTTAAAGATTCAGCACATACTCTATAGCAAGAGCTTTGTTTCTTCTAGCTGAAGATCTGAGACAAGGAATTAATTTCCTTTTAGCAATTCCCTTCTACATGAATCTGCCATATATTTCACTCACAAAATAATTGCTAAGAAACAACTGAAAATATTACTAGTAAAATAGTAACAATGTTTGATTCTAAT